TGTTGATTAAAAGGATTGGAAAGATACGCAACCTAATTGGTAAATTCGTGACAAGGCTGATTTGCAGGGGCGGATACAGAAATTTATTTTAGGGGGGGGCCAAATAAAAAGTAATGTAGAATATGCTGTTTAGGATGCCATTTTTAACCCATAAGGCTAATATTTAACCCAATTTATGGATTTTAGGGGCCGGGCCCCATTGGCCCCCCTCTGTATCCGCCACTGCTGATTTGATTTCCCATTACGTCTGAAGTGCTGTACGGTGGAGCCTTAACACGTTCTGAGACCAATACATACAACACTCATTTTCTCTAATTCGACTAACGAAGACGGTGTGGGTCTAAAAACGACAGTGTTGCCATATTAAAATTTGTAATATTTGTAATACGTTTGACAAAAATCTCTTTGGATGAAAAATCCGCGTTTATGTATTGAAAATTTTTTCGTATTTAGAATAAACAACAAAAAAATCTTTTATAGGTACTGAATATTGCCTATGATCTAAAAAAATCGTTTAGTTGGCTTGGAAATGACGACTATTGACATTTACCATAATATTTTACATATTATGAAATAACACCAATCTTCATTTTCAATCCAACTCTGACACCGTTCTTTGCTTAATCATATAGTATTATATTAAATTGTTTAATGATATTCGTATTAGAAAATCCGTATTATTAAGATAATGTGTCCAAAATCCGCAAATCTACGGATTAATACGTAGTTCTGGCAACACCGTCTCCGGCAACCACCCATTCTGTCGACTGAAAGCAGAAATACGGTACAGCATTCTTCATCCGCTGCGCAGTAAACGACTATCAGCGCGCAGCGGCGCAGATCTAAACTAAATCTCGGACAGGTTGACTAGCGACGACGTATCACCAGCCATATATTGGACAGGTTTTGTGCCACGAAATCGTCCATAAGGTTGCGCATCTTCTTATTTCTTCAATCAACGATAGTTGTTAATTTGAAAACTAATCCGCTTTTTTTGAGATCCCAGTGATTTGGCTAGAATTTGGGATACCCTGTACATCTTAACAAAAGAACTAATATATAGCTTTACTAATTGGCTGTTATTATTCCATGCACAATTTTAATTCTCTTTCATAAAAATAATTTGAAAAAAAAGTTGGAATTTTTTATAATGCACTAATAAATATGTAAAACTTGGAAAATAAGTTGGTTATAATAATGGTTTTATAATTCGGAAACTCTCTATTTATTTATCTAGTAATGCTAAAACACTCTATTTTAAAGTCGATTAGAGAAAATAGTATGATTCATTGGCAAGTAATGTAAACATTTACGATCCGGTAAAATTGTGAAGTAAGAGGAGGCTTAGCTTGCCTACGGCGGATCAGTAGTAGACTGGCCAGCCGGCTGTTGTGTTGTGTTTTGTCATAGAGCTGATATTTGGGGGTTGAGAGTCTTTTGACTATAAACGTTGCAAGTACTGTAAGGCAACGGGTCGTTTGACCGGAAGAAAACCTCTGGTGACGTCTTTCCTTCGAGGTTGGTCTTGAGAGTTTGAGGTCTCCCTTGTCTTCTCGATTGACACGATGCGGCGTTGGGGTAGAGAGACTAGTGAGGTACCCCAATTAGCTTATTCGAATGGGATGCGAATCTGTTTAGCGGCAGAGTTGCGTCCGGGGGAAGCCCCTATACTATTTCAGGTGACACTAGCTAGTTGTTGAAGATTATTAACCAATATATAACCGAATGATATTTGAATTAGATTGAAAATATGGGATGGGATATATTGAATAGAATATATCAGTGGCTAGGGGGCGGAGTACTCCCGGGTGAGTCTTACTATTTAACTATTAATTTTATCCAGATCAGTAAATGTTTGTTTTGTTATTTTCATGTACAATGAGAGAGTGCTTGCCAATGACCAACTAAATGGATATTTGAGGTGAATTTGCATTGTGAGACCCGGTTGAGTAAGCCCCAGAAATAAGCGATTTTACAAATAGCAAAAAAAAACATAATATACAAGGCGTACGATATTACTAGGAACCCCTTTACAAAGTGACAAACTATTAGATATTATCAATGTTTATTAACAAGATCCATCTTTTCCAAAGATAAATTACAGTTTTGTGAACAAAATTACTAAATAAACATTATATATATATATTTCTTTTAATTTAGAGAATTATATTACCAAAACTTCAACATAATTGCTGGTATTTTAGATGCCAAAGCAATTGAAACCCATTTTTTATAAATGTGGGTAAAAGTGTGACAATCAACAACAAACTTGAAGTATTGATAAACAGAATAATTATTATACCTGAAATAAGCCGACATTATCATTAACAAATATTTAAATAATTATATACCAGTGTAGAGCACAACAGATAATATACCTAGTTTAAGTCTACGACTTAATAATTATTATTTGCGATACTTTCACTTTTTTCTTCAATTTTCGTACTATATGGTAACGAACATTTTACATATTAAAACAAGACTGAGTGTTGTTTTAATATCTAAAATGTGTGAAAGTATATGGTGTGTCTTTAATAATGTATTTTTGTCTGATGATGCTCGTATGAACGAAACACTTGTCATAATTTAAGTTTTTGGTAATAAATGTCGAGACCTCGGTCGAGACTTGAGTCTTTTTCTTCTTTTGGAATTATTGAGAGTAACATCATTACAAACAATAACTCATATAGAGAAAATTTGTACGTTTTGGTATTGCTCCATTAGCTAATTATTGTTATCTGGTAGTTATAGTTATTTTGAAGTTTTATTTTATGTAATGTCATTTTAACAGAACGTCAATAATTTATAATAGACGTATCTGCTGTTCTCCGAATAGGTATAAAATATTTAGACATTTTTAATAGTTTCTTTCTTATTTCTAAAACATTAAGCATACTTTGTAGGTTAGGCGAATTTATTTTACTAGTAAAAAGCCAAAAAAACTGATCTCCGTTTGGATTAAACGCAGTGATGTACAAAAAATAACTTTTTTATTTTGTAGATTTCTCTCCCAGTAGCGAAAAAAAATCCAGATTTTTCTTCTTATTTATCATTCAAACAAATCCCAAAATATATATAAAAATGTAATGTAAATTGACTGAAACTATTTATAATACATATACAGGGTGTTTCAAAAAACATGTACCAACTCTCGTGGGGAGATTCCTCACGTAAAAATAAGATTTATTTTTCATATTAACATAGGTCCGATTCTGCTTTGTTTCGTAACTACAGGGTGTTAAAATGTTGCTCTTTTCGATTTATTATAATTTTTGTTCCACGTAATTTTAACGTTCGAAATTATGAGGGTAAAAGTTACTATAAATGCGACATATTTTAATGCTAAAAAATTGTCGACATATTCACCAGGGACGTGCATATGGGTTATCACTGGAATATTTTACTAAAAAAGCATGTACGCCACTGACTTTTTTTCTCGGGTTAGCGAAATAGTGTACGCAGTTTAATGCCGATTAAAACTTGGCTTGATATTTTGTTGATTTCGGCCACCTTGATGAGATAAACGCATTTTTTTATTAATTTGCCTTGATCCAAGTCTAATACCCACCTTTAAAAAAAATCAATATCATTAACTTGTGAATGCTTAACTAACTACTTACCTCGCGCACCGCTGGCTGGCCAAAATGACGGCGCGTCGCCAACAAAATTTCACTTCGGGTGGAGGGTTTTAACAACAGGGAACATGTTTTCTTCCTTTTTCTACACAAAATCGGTTATACGAACTTTAACATTCTCTAAATATTTAAATATTAATAATTTAAATATTTTATTGATATTGGGTAATTTAAATATTTTATAGATGTGTCCATTATTTTCTTATAATTTGTTTTAAAGTAATGAATAATATCTTCGTAATCCTTCACTTATAGTAAAAATATTTACAATTTTTATATACATATTTTTTTGGCTAGGTATAATTTACATAATTGGGAATTCCATAGGTCTGTTTGGTTATTTGAAAGTTTTATGGATTCGTTTTTATTACGTTTATAAATTTTTATAGACCTTAACCTTAACCTTAACCTATTGGTGCTGTGTTAAGGATTTTAAAATTATTTTAAGGAAAAATATGACCAGAGTAGAAGTAATTTATATTTTTAAATTGGCTCTATTTTTGTTTTATGTAGATGACTGATGTTTTGTGAATTTGGTATATTTTTTCCACTTTGTGTAAATTGCAAAGAGAATTAATGTAATAAACGTAAAAACAATAGGAAAAATAAAAAATTATAAACATAACAAAAACAAAACGATAAAACATTTAAATTGTCAAATAGACGGATGGAATTCATATGCCTCAAATGTAATGAATAATGGCCTCAAAAATACGAATGTCATCGTTCTCGTTAATCGTCACAATATTATAAATATCCATAATTAATTCAGTTTGCTTGGTGCTTCTTTCAACTAGAGAAATAAACCAGACTAAACTGGCGGGCCGCCCGGAGATGGTAAGGACATGCTCCAGTCGCCGGCCGAAAATCACCGGATGACGGATGTGCGCACGCGTTACTCGGAGAGCGCTCGACTCTGAAATAAGAACGAGGAATTTCGGGAAAGCTGCCGCCAGCGGGCGGCTGGCGATCGACTATGAATACGGCCGTTAGTAATAGGGTTCCCGTTTTTACCCTTTGGGTACGGAACCCTAAAAACCTCTTTTATTTTTCTTTTAGAGGCTATCGCTGTTCTCGAATTAGTTGCATCTAGATATTTTAAATAGTTTTTTCTTTGTTCTTTGTGTTCCTTCCGACGCGACGATGGAAAGAGATATACTTTCCCCAACGTTAAGCATTTTTTTGTCCGTTAGTCAAATTTGTTTATTAGTAAACCACTGATGACAATTATATAGTCTCTTCTCTATAAAAAATAACTATTTTATTTTGTAGATTTTCTTACAGTGGCGAAATACCCATAGGATTTTTTCGGAAAAACACCTTGTATATTTCCTATTTTAATAGTAAAAGAAAATCTGTTTTTACCTCGACTATAGCGGCCTCAATAGACGACCGTCCGAGTGTCATTACAAGCAGCGGCCATTCCCCATCTCGCCTCCCCGTCTTGCCCCTATTCAACCCTTTCGCTCTCCATTCTGCCTCCCTCTAAGGGCGAAACAAAAGACGGAATAATCCATAGAAGCCGAGCTGACCAATGGCGTGGAGCGGGCTTTGTACACGGCTAAGTGAAGTGCTCGACTGTATTCGGCTCCTGACTCTGGAAGTGTCCATTTAGGTGATTAACGACCATATTGTTTCCAATGAATTATTGTAAAAAATATTGCTATATAACATTATTATTTAAAATAAAACATTTAAATACTAGTAAGTACCAAGGTGGGAATAATACTTTGTAAAAAATTTGCTCAGTCGCGGCCGAGCCTAAGCCCGCGGTTACATTGGACGCGGGTCCGTGCATTTTTTTATACGTGCGAGCTCTGACGAAAACATCTGCAAAGGTGCTAAAGAAGCTTTAGTAACACGTACTGTATCACACAATAGAAGGCCGAACATTAAACCTTGGTTTACATTAGAAATCAAGAACATTACAAGGGAAAAGAAGGAAAAATACTTACAATACAAGAAATCTCCAACACCGGAGAACCGAAATATCTATACCGTAATAAGGAACAGGACTAATAATAGAGTACGAGAAATTAAAGAAGAATATTGGCAGCGATTTAGTAGCGAAATGGAGGCAGATATATACGGAGCACAAAAACGTATTTGGAAGATGTTGAGGGGTTTGAAACGAGAAACAAATGAAACAATACAACTAAGAACAATTGCAGAAGATACGTGGGAAAAATATTTCAGAGACTTATACGCAGAAACAGATGAACTAATGGAAGCACAAGAGATAATATAGAAGATCATGCGCAAATCACTTACAAGCAAGTAGAAGAGACAATAAAGAAACTTAAAAATAGAAAATCTCCTAATCAAGATAAAATACCAAACGAGCTAATAAAAAACGCAGGCACGGCTATCATAGAGCAATACACAAAACTGTTTAACATTATATTACAACATAAAAAAATACCAGAAAAATAGAAACAAAGTATAACAATACCCATTTTTAAAAAGGGAGATAAAACAGACCCAGCAAACTATAGAGGAATAACATTACTGAGCACCTCGCTAAAACTTCTGACTAAGATCATTGCGGACAAGATCTCCTCAATAGTGCCAATAAGCGAGGAACAACAAAGATTCCGAAGAAACCGATCAGCTACCGATGCACTATTCATACTCAGGCAACTAGTTGAAAAATCCTTAGAATATAACTCTCCAGCCTATCTATGTTTTATAGATTTAACAAAGGCCTTTGATAGAGTCCAACTAAAAGACATCATCACCATCTTGGAAAGCAGTAATGTCTCGAAAGAACTCACAGAACTTATCAAGGACTTAAACACAAACACAACAACCCAAATAAGAACAAACTTTACCTTAACGCAGCATCTTCGAACTACAACTGGTATTCGCCAAGGCGACAGTCTCAGCCCTCTGTTATTCAACACAATCATGGATCAAGTAATAAAAACCGTCAAGAATACTGGATTAGGATATCGAATGGGAATGCATAAAGTAAACATATTATGCTACTATGCCGATGACGCAGTACTTATTGCAGAGTCAGAGGACGACCTCCAAAGAATGCTACGAGCTTTTAACAGACAGGCAGAAAAACTTAACATGCAAATTTCCACAAATAAGACCAAATGCATGACCATTACAAAGGAGCCTCTACGGTGCAAATTGGTAATAAAAAACAAAATTATTGATCAGATAATGTCATTCGAATACCTCGGATGCAAAATTACAAGCTCAGGATTTCTGGAAGAAGAAGTAAGGAAACAAGTCAATAAAGCTGCCGCAATATCAGGACATCTTAAATATCCCATATGGAAAAACAAACATTTGAGTACAGAATGTAAGTCAAGAATATAGAAAACCTGCATACGACCAGTGATGACATATGGTGCGGAAACCAGAGCTGAAACATCAGTAACAAAGAGAATCCTACGAACTACTGAAATGAAGACCTTAAGAATGATAACTGGATACACATTGAGGGACAGACGTTAAACCCTGTATAATAAAGACCAGAACTAAAATTTATAAAAAACCGAGTTTACGAATTAAAGTATATCTTTATACAGTTTTCCAAAAATGAAAATTGGACTAAAAGACGAAAAATGTTTCCGTTGCGTTTTTTTGCATCGAGTGTGCAAAAAATAAATTTATACAGGGTGAGTCTTAAATAACGGCAAATATTTATACTATTTATATTATATTTCGACCTGGGAAACACGCGATTTTTTTTTAATTTTTAGTTAAAAATAGATAGTGGATTAATATTACAAGAAAGAAAAACCAGAAAAAAACAGTGCCAGTGGTTCGCTTAAAATTTAAAAGAAACATCAGTTTTTTTTATTTTCAAGTAAAATATCTCGGTTATTTTGGACTCATTTGAAAAACGGTTTCATCGAGATCTACAAGTCTCCATTTGCATTTATTTAAGACTCGCCCAGTATATAAAATAGATGACCACGCTAATTTCTTACCGGGATGATTTTTTTAGCGGTAACCCTGTGTATTATTGCATTTTTAGTTTCCTTCGCTTTACATAATCCTAAGATATTGGTCAATATATTTCGATAGAGATATTAGATTCGATTCAGAGATATTAATAAATAAATAAGAAATACCGGGTGCATCTCAAAAGTGGCTTTTACATCAGAGCTATTTATATTAGTAATACAGTTTATATGGGACCATGTAGGTAGGGTTACATAATCATTTCACTATTTATGTTTTTCCAGAGATTTTCTTTTTTCAGATTTTGCAAAATTTCGACTTTGGTTTAGTCAAAAATAACAAAATCGATTTTTTGAAAGGGTATACAGGGCGAGTCTTAAATAAGTGCAGTATATTTTGACCTCAGAAACACGATTTTTTGGAAAATTTGTCATTTTTTGAAAAACTTTTTTTTAGTTTTTAGTTAAAAACCATAGTTTCTTGATAATATGGCAATATAGGTAGTAGAATAAATTTACCAGGCAGAAAAACCTAAAAAGCTCCAGTGGTTCTCAAAATTTAAGCAAAAAATATATTTTTTTTGAAAATTATTAAAGTAAAATAACTCGGTTATTTTGGAGTTATTTTAAAAACGATAAAGAGAAAATATGTTTCATCGAGATCTACCAGCCCTCAAAAAGTATTTGCACTTATTCAAGACTTAACCTGTATAATACCCAGAAAATCGACAATTACTAACTTTCATATCAAATACAAGTAGCTCTAAAACTTTTAAAAACATAGTTTAAATAGTGCATTTGTAAGGCCAAACCAAACCAAATTACTAGCTCTATTTATAAAGAGTTAAACAATCATTTAAATCAATGCATGAACGATTCGAGGTGTAACGCGAACGTAGACGCGGGAAAAAGCTAGTCAGTAATAAAACAACACCTTACCTACATCAACTTTTACTAATTTACCAGTTTCAAAAACTAAAGCAAACTCACCACACACACACCCATATCCATCTATCACAAATACTAAACTAAAATCTCATTTGTAAACAACATTACAACTAGGAACATGTTAATAAACTGGTCCCGAGCTCGCGTGTGTTGTCAAATTATACCTGGATGGAAAATGTAGGGTGCGTAGTACCGGTCGAACCGGCCCTGGACAAACCTTTCGGGGTGGACACCTGAGGTCATAGGGCGAAAGGGCGCAGACATACACGGGAGTGAGCAAGCCGCAAGAGCCCTAATAGTCGTCACATGTCAACACATTGCCCGATATTAATCATAACGCGGCATCCAACGATGGAGAACATAAACAAATCGTCCCGAATGAAGCTAAATATTGAAAATTCTTGGAAAATAACACGGAAATATGGAAAATAGTATCCTACAACTTTGCTGGAAATAAAGAGGGTGGTATTTCTACCTGGGATTGGAAGGGATTTGTAATTATATTTAAATTAGATTCGGGATAGACGTCCAGGTAAAATTTCGGATGGACGAACATCTGCGGGGAATTGAAATTCTACAGGGTGTTTAAAAGTTTTGAAACTACTACTGTATTACGTCGTCAAAATATCGTACTAAAATTGTTATAAAAAATGTTATTGTTATTGTGAACAAAAATCTCATATTGATTGAAAAAAAAAATTGTTTAACCCAAAATTCCAAACACACGTGCTTTGATTAAGGCTTGATTAGGGTTTGCAGAGCTTCAGAATTTGCCATAAAATAGCGACCAATTTATTACAAAACCATATAAATTATATATCACTGTAATCACAAAACTTCAATCTATTTCCGTATTGTAACGGAATTTTAAATTATGTCTTTATTTTCGAGAAAATTTAGAGCAAATATAAGGATTATTTTGTTGGTGTTTGACCATGAAAAAATGAAAATCGTAAAAATAAAGAAGTTGTCTAAAAATGTGCTACAATACGGATATACTATAATCCTTATCTTTAGTATCTTTAATTTCCTTCTTCATTTGTGTAAAAATACCTAGTCAGTTTTACATAAAACGTTAAATTCCGAACGCTTATTTCGCTACTTTTTCGGACTAGTGAAATGTACTCTTAAACTGACTATCAAGAATATTTAAATAGAAATATATAATAAAATACATACCGGGTGTTGCATCGTCGGGCGGGACATAGGAAATCCCATGTAAATTTTAATGGGGTCAATTATTGGCTTCCCTAATTATTTCAGAGAATAATTCTATTTAGGTTTATTGAAGAGCACTAAAACCCACAAGGGAATAACTTTAGATATTTTTGATTAGCTCGTTTACGAGTTATCGCCGATTTCTTTTTAAATATTTCTCCTTTCTTATGGCCCTGTATTTACTTATGAGCACCAGTCAAGGTAAAAGATAACTGTCAAATAAAGTTGTCATTTCAGAAATTTACCTATTTGGTGCTTTACATTTGTCTATGGTGCTTTATTATTATTGAAAACTCATTCCTACATCGGAAATCTGAAAGATGTATTTATAAATACAAATTTATATGAATTAAAGTAAAATAAAGTAATCAATTACAAGGTTAATTATAGTATTATTACAATATTCAATAACTTATTAATTTAGGTACTATTAAATTGTTAGAACTTTAGGATTTAAGAAGATGTTCAAATATTCCTCCATCGACTGCTAGACAATAACCCAGGCGATCATAAAATTCTCTTCTTACATTCGCTAGTTGGTAAACTGAAATTCTATTGCATTCGGCAGAAATAGGAAAATAATAGAATGTTTTATCTCGTCTAGATTTGGGTATTTTTTATCCTTGTATATCCTGTTTTTTAAATGGCCCCAGAGAAAAAAATCATTTGGCGAAATATCAGCAGACCTTGCTGGCCAATTTACTGTATTATTTAGGCCAATAACGTTCCCGTTAAAACTATTGTCTAAATATTCCCGAACAGCCAGGGTACTATGTGCCGGGCAGCCATCCATTTGGTACCAAACCCCTGATTTTCCCTAGCGGCAACATGTAAAGCAAGTAAAATATGATTTTCGAGTAGTTCCAAATAATATTCTGCATTTAAATTTCGCATAAGAAATAATGGAAATATTGTGTCCGAATATCCCTGCCCAAACATTTACTTCCTGTGGATATTGCGTCCTTGTTTCGACAAACCTGTATTGGTTTTCTTTTTTCCAATATCGATAATTTTGAACATTGGGTTCATTATTTAAGGTAAACGTGCATTCATCAGTGAAACATATGTTTTTTAAAAATTTCCTATCCGTGTTTGCTCTTTCCATCATATCAAAACAAAACGCCTGCCGCCGTATTTCGTCCCCATCTCGTAGCTCTTGGTGCTTGTCATATTTGAAGGAATAGTATTTAGTATGTCGTTTCAAAATTCGAAACGCTGTAGTGTGATCTATTCGTATTTCATCCTCAAGTTTCCTTGTGCTGATCTTTCCATCGTTCTCTTCCACGCACAATAAAACTTCCAACTCGGTATCATTTCTTGCATCTTCTCTTTGTTCCTGCCTTGCTTCACATCTGCAGTTATTTATTAGGGTACCTTTGGTCTCAAATCTCTGGATATTCCTTGCGATCGTAGATTTTCCAGGTATCGGTCTATTCGGATACAGAGCAGCAAACATGTCCGACACCTTTTGATAACTATTTCCTTGATAATAACATTTAATCATCAATACTTTTTCTTCGGTAGTGTAAATCATGGCTAATATTTTCGATGTAGGTATGAGTTTTTAATAATAATAATAAAGCACTAAATAGATAAATTTCTGAAATGACAACTTCATTTGACAGTTATCTTTTACCTTGACTGGTGCTCATAAGTAAATACAGGGCCATAAGAAAGGAGAAATATTTAAAAAGAAATCGGCGATAACTCGTAAACCAGCTAATCAAAAATATCTAAAGTTATTCTTTTGAATGTGGGTTTTAGTGCTCTTCAATAAACTTAAATAGAATTATTCTCTAAATTAATTAGGGAAGCCAATAATTGACCCCATTAAAATTTACATGGGATTTCCTATGTCCCACTTGACGATGCAACACCTGGTACCATAATAACATAATTTTTTAAAGGAAATACAACTCTAACTAGCTGTATAATAAATTAATCTCATATTCAAATCCAAAACTTTCACATACATTTTCAAATATTTCGTTTAAATTTTAAGCAAAATATTTAAATACAAATAGCAACAATTTTAACTAAGTCTTATTAATATTCCTTCGCGATAAAAAAATTTAAAACACGGCTAGATATTAACTAATTGTTTTTTTTTGCGAATTATCATGGAACATTGCATATTGTCAAGTTTAGTTTATAAAAATATTTTAATACATTCAGTGACTTACTTTCACCCAGCCTGGACAAAAAACGTTCTAGTAAGGCGATAGTGACAAGATCAGCTTTACCATTTATTAAATAATAATAGATGCTTATCGAATCAAAAAGAAAGGTAAGTTCTAGGTTAGTTAAAGAGATAAGATTTTTTTAAACAAGTGCATTTCGAAGTGTGGTAAGGTTATTGTGACAGAAATAATTCCCTGTATAGTATCTTATCAGTCAACTTTTTTTTTTATCTAATCTACAGCTGTTCCCAGTTTCAATATACAAAAACTATATCTCTCCACTTTAGATTACTAACGTAGAATGAATCAGAAACAACAAAGTAAAAAAAATTGAAAATGTCCCCGTGTTTATCAAATTTTTGCGAATTTCAGTTGTTCCCTGGATAGAACTATGATGCGGGTAGTGCAACATTGTTATGTTATAATTAGTGCAATCATAATTGTTTGCCAAACAAGCTCAAATGAACTGAGGGAAATCCAGTGTCCTGAATATTGTGATTGTGACGTTTACCAAGATCTAAATAGAGCTGTGTGTCAAAATCAGAATCTAGTGACACTGGAATTGGGTATACCAGAAGGTGTCAGATGGTTGGACATAAGTTTTAATCAGATTAAGGAACTTACAGATGGACAATTTGTCGTAAGTATAATTCTTTGTCTGTTTGTACTTATTCTAGCGCGTAAGTATAGAAATAATGTAAACGTATAGAGAAATCAAAGTTGGCGTGCACGCTATCAACGACATCGAAACTATTAGACCTCTTTCAGACGAGGACGCTGTATCCCAGACGCGCGTATCTCAGATACAGAAAAAGCATGTAGTTAAATTGTACCTTACACATGGCATTCGACGACGCATACGGTATCGCGCGGCCGAATTTTTGAATGTGGAATCTTCAGCCGCCTGAGCCGCCCGGCGACGAAGGTGTATCCGGGATACAGAATTATCATAGTAGCTTATGGACCTGTTCAGACTTGCATACTTTTGCGATACAAAAGTTCGATTTCACAGGCGAACAGAATATTTATTGTAGGTTTATTATAGTAAAAAAAATTCAGTAGTGAGAATAATAGCGATAATAGCGAACAATAAATAAGAGAACCATGGATCGTGCCGCTTTCAATAATGAAAAATTTATAAGCTTTGTATTATTATATACAGGGTGGTCCGAATTGTATTCCGAAAACTTCGGGAGCATATTCTGCAGATAAAAAGAAGTAAAAAACTTCTTATAAATGTATGTCCTAAAGGGCTTAGTTTCGGAGATACAAGGTGTAGAAGTTTCATTTTTATTTCGATTTTTTCCAAATAATTTCTGATGGTAACGTCAATATTTGTATGAAAATTGGTGTCTGTTAGTTTTTTGACGTGAGAAATTCGATTTTGATGTCATTACGACTCCTATTTGTAGAGGGCGCCACCTACATGTGTTTTAACTGTTTTGAAGAGTAATAACTTTTTGTCCGTACCTGTATAGAACTGCTGAGTGAAAAAATATACATTTTCGTATTTTTTTACGTAAAAAATGTCTCTTGATAAAAATCGTTACGAGCAACCCTTGTCGAGATAATTAGAATGGGAATAGTCAATACATGTCATTATTGACAAAAAATAAACATGTTGAGTAGATAGTTATTTGACTAAAAAGATAAATTTGGAAAATTTTTATTTTTTTAAATAAATCATAAAATTTTCTTCGAAAAAATGATGATTGATGATGGTTTGGCACAAAAACATTTCAAATTTATGATTTCTGTCTATTAACTATTTAGTCAACATGTTTAATGTATGTCAATGATGACAGGTATTGATAAATTCGATTTCAAATATCTCGAGAACTGTTACTCGTAGCGATTTTTATTAAGAGATCTTTTTTACGTTAAAAACGTCGTAAATGTATATTTTTTTACTTAGTAGTTTTATACAGGTACGGACGAAAAGTTATTACTCTACAGACCAGTTAAAAATATGTAGGTGGCGCCCTCTACAAGTAGGAATCATATTGACATCAAAATCGAATTTCTCATATCAAAAAACTCCCAGAGACCAAATTTCATCCAAATATTGATGTTACTTCAGAAATTATTTGGAAAAAATCGAAATAGAAATGAAACTTATAAACTTATAAACTACGCCCTGTATCTCCGAAACTAAGCATTTTAGGACATACATTTATAAGAACTTTTTTACTTACTTTTATCTGCAGAATATGCTGCTGAAGTTTCCGGAATACAGTTCGGACCACCCTGTATATGGCAGCTGAAGATTCCACATTCAAAAATTCGGCCGCGCGATACTGTATGTATCGCCGAATGCCATGTGTAAGGTACAATTTAACTACATGCTTTTTCTGTATATCTGAGATACGCGCGTCTGGGATACAGCGTCCTCGTGTGAAAGAGGTCTTACCAAATTAAATATCTAATAAACAAAAATTCGTCTGAAACTTTTTTTTTGCTCCGCTTTTTTTTATAATTTCATATTCTGAGTAAATAAAAAGACAGCACGCTATCGCACCAAGCAAACAAATTGGTAGACATCTTATGTTTACGAAATTAACGAAAGATATCTAAACCTATTCAACTAGCAAATTAAAACTAAATAAAATTAATAATGAATCAGTCAAACTGCTTCGGTGGGATTGACAAGTGAGAACCAGCGTTAGATAGAGAACAGCACGATAGAGAGTTTCGAACCGGTCACCCGTCCATCCACTAGTATCGCCTTACCTCGCTTAACTTCGGTGTTCTAATGGAAACAAAAAATTGTTTGTATAGGAAATTAAATGAGGAAATATTTATGTACAAGAAATATTTGTGGAAGCGATAAGCATGTTTACTTTTTTATGTTTACTGACTGTTAGCTTATGTTTTGAACATTTTTTTTGTTGAATGATTACCGATTAATTTGAATTCTGTACCTAAAAACGTTTTCTTTTGGATTGTCATAATTATATTAATTTTTTAACTGAAATATATTAGGTTTATTAAAATTGTAATTGATTCAAGGTTTCGAACAAATGCTTTTCTTAAATTGTCGTACGTTGAACTAATATTTTCACAACTTTATAACATTACGGCTACCGAAATTAAAAAAATTACAGCACTTTTATGGAAAATTTTTCTATATTACTTTTTTGTTAAACATCAATGGTTTCGAAAGCAATTATAATATGCAATAGGTTGTTTTTGTTACACCGTGAACACAGATAAAATTATGGTTTTCGTCTTTCATAATAATTCTAAATTTTCTACCACTATACGCATCTTGCCATCACTTATATCAAATACATTTCAAGTTTTATTCTATTAATTTAGTGTAATTATTTAAACTATGCCTATATTTTTTTATATTTTCTATTTATCTATATAATATATATATAAAAAAATTACTACCTCATACAGAGTGTCTAAAATTTATTTTAAATAATTTCTTGCATTAAACGGCAATATCTTTTTTAATTTAAATGGAACGCCCTGTATATTTTAGGAGAATCAGATTTCCATTTTAGTTGTCTATAAAATTGTATTATACCACTTTTTACCTACCCCTTCAAGTTTTCGTAGAAAATGCATTTTCTTATAATTTAGACCTCATTTATCAATATACCCATGGAATATTGACATTTTAGATTGTTTTTAAAGCAACAGATGTATAAAATGTACAGACTAGTAATATTATCGTTTTTAGCAAAACGATAATATTACTAGCCCATTTGTATGCAAAAATAAAACTATTTAAATCTTTTCCGCCATTATTTCCGCCCAAATACTAATTAATTAGGTAATTACTTAATTGTGTTCGTTAATAAATTATTCTAAATAAATGTGGATTTGAATCAGAAATCAATATGATAATAAGTTATGAAAATGAACGTCTCTGTTGTTTTAATAAGCAAATTTGTCAAAAAATGAAATATCATTTTTAAGGTGTTACTTTTTACCACACTGTCTAATACACATACAAAATTCAGTTTTTTAGTATTTGGAGCAATTACTATTAATCAACGCAAACAGTTAATTAATGTAGTTTAAATACTGGAATCATATTAATTAGTCCTCTTCAACAAATATTTTTTAAACCTTTTTTTTATATTTTTTAATGAAATAAACGAACTATATCGACAATATTAGTATCAGTACTCTTTAAAAATTTGGTACATCTTTAAAAATTAACTAAAATGTCAGTATTCCATGGGTATATTGATAAATTAGTTCTAAATTACAAGAAAATGTATTTTCTACGGAAACTTGTAGAGATAGGTAAAAAATGGTATAATATAATTTGATAGACAATTAAATTGTGCATCTGATTCTCGTAAAATACACAGGGTGTTTCATTTAAACTAAACAAGTTATTATTGCCGTTTAAAGCTAGCAATTATTTAAAATACATTTTTAGATACTCTGTATAAAGTAGTATAGTTTTTATTATCGCAACACAATAACTGATCAATAAATAAACTTCAGTAAATATTTAGTATTAAAAACTTTGATACCTTTGGTGAAATGAAGCGTTAAAATTTTTACTGCAATTTCACAAAATTGAAAATATTTCAAAAACGGTAAGGTTTAAGTGTAATAAACCTTAATCAAATTTATCTTTATTTTAATCGTAGAAACTAAAAATTAATAATATACAGGGTGTTCCATTTAAAAAAATTCAACTTTGATATTTTTTATTTATTTGTATCTTGTAAAAATATTTTTAATTGTAGCTCTAATAGTCCTTCAACGAACACAAAACTTATAATTTGAAAATATCTAATCGTTTAGCTACAATACTCCGTGTCGTATGTGGTGAACAACCTTGTATATTATATTTCAGAAATCTGCCTAAAGCTTATCCCTATCCTGTAGTGTGTGCCACACCTAAAATTCCAAACACACGTGCTTTGATTAAGACTTGATTAAGGTTTGCAGAGCTTCAGCATTTGCCATAAAATAGCGAGCAATTTGTTACAAACCATATAATATCACTATAATCACAAAACTTCAATCTATTTCCGTAATGCAACGGAATTTTAAATTATTTCTTTATTTTCGAGAAAACTTAGTCCAAACATAAGGAATATTTGTTGATGTTTGACCATCAAAATCTTAAAAATAAAGAAGTTGTCGAAAAATGTGCTACAATACGGATATAGTATAATCCTTTATCTTTAATTCCCTTCTTTTGTGTAAAAATACTTAGCCAGTTTTACATAAAACGTTAAATGCCGAACGCTTGTTTTGCTACTTTTTCGGACTAGTGACATGGACTCTTAAGGCCAACTCAAAGAGCCATTAAAAAATAAAGAAGGGTACGCCAAGTAACTCGCTAAAATTGTGATCGACTGGCATTCCCCAGCCCGCCAGCCGTCTGGTTATTAAATTTTAAAAATTACAGTTACATCTAAAACAACATAAATACTAATTTTATGTGTCTATTTTTAAGGAATTGCATTTAACGGATCTGAAACTCCTCAATCTATCCAACAACAAATTATATGATATACACTTCAACGCATTCAAAGGACTGGAACATTTGAAAACTCTAGATCTGTCGTTCAACGCGGTAGAGTACTTCAACGAAGCATGGTTTGAGAGTTTGTCATCTTTGGAGGGACTGTATTTGAGGGGGAATAAACTCAAATCGATAAACAAACAACCATTAATAAGCTTGAAGAATTTAAGGGTATGTTAACACTTGCAACATTAATTAAGTCTTATATAAATAGATTTTCGAAACCGATAAACAAGCAACAATTAATAAACTTGAAGAACTTAAGCGTATGGTATCACTTGCATACATTAATTAAATGTTATATAAATAGATTTTCTGTTGCTCTAAATATTGGTTGATTCAGTTATTATGACCTGTCATAATACCTAATCATTTACCTATAAATATTTATGATGACTGTATCAGTATTGGACATTTTTATTTCTCTAATAATTATAATGACATGGCAATTGCACGGCCACATATTCTACTAAGTAAAATACTTTATCCTGAAGTACACTGTTTAGATTTTAGAATTTAGAATGAGTGAGAGGGGGGTTAATCATTGCGACCTTACAGATCTATTGTGTCCCTCTTTCTTAAGTTATAACTCATCATACAGTCCCAGGGCTTTGACAAAACCCAGTACCTGGGACGGTTTTATAGAGGGTAGTTCTCCATCTCCAATATCAGTCGTACCAAAGTTCATGGCACGAATTGTTGTCGTCTCGGCGCACTCAGTGATGAGCTGTACTGATGTTTCCCCATTTTCCCCACAGAATTTCTTCTTAGTTTTAATCTACTTAGGTGTTCATTGAGGAGACAGTGTCCTGTTAAAAACCCCGTGACAATCCAAAGATATTTCTTACTTTGATCCAAGAAGATCTTTGATTTTTCTTGGTCGTAAGCCCTCAGAAACTTCTTCGAGTGTCTTAGACCGTTGCAAGATCCCCATTCCAGGTTGCGGATGGAGTCTTCCAAGTTCTTGAGTTCCGCCTTGAGTTGGTTACCACTTGGAAAGCAGAACGGTTCTGGTCCAGTTAGTGGAGTGTTTGCTCCTTTTCTAGCTAGATCATTTGCTTTTTCATTGCCTTGTATCCCTTGTTGAGCAGGCCTCCAGTGTAGGACTTTGTTTTCTTTGCCTAATTTATTCAGCTTCTCTATGCATTCTTTGACCAATTTCGAATTGATTGACACCGAGTTGATCGCTTTTAACGCTGCTTGACTATCAGATAAGATGGCTATTTCTTGTTTCCGATAGTTCCTATCTAAGATAAGTTGTACGCATCTTTCGATAGCGTAGATTTCTGCCTGTAGGATGCTAGGGTAGGTGCCCATTGGTTAGGAGTATTGAGTTCTCGGCCCAAATACTCCTATCCCTGTTGGTTCTAACCTAACCGCGCATTGGTTTTGGAAGCATCAGTATACCAAGTTATGGTATGGTCTTTTAACTGCTGGGCAGACGTTTCTCTCTTCCAATCCTGTTTATTGCTCAATACTACATTGAGATGTGTCTCAAAGTTGTACGTTCTTGGCATATCATCCACTGGAAGTTGCAGGAGTGGTATTTCCTTTTTGAGGGTGTTCCAAGCCCCTGATCTGACAATTTTCCCAGTACTGATTCCGTTAGTGACCATTCTAATCATTATCGCATTGGCATATCTACCAATGACAATGTGCAGTGGTGTTAGATCTAGAATGACCTCTATTGCTGCTGTTGGACAGGTTCTCATGGCTCCTGTGATCTTCTGTTTAGATTTACTTAGTAATCGAAAGAGTAGATTAATTTTTTATAATTGTGGTGCCGTGCTTGCGCCAAATTATTATAAATATTATAGAAATAAAGATATCTAATGTTGAAACGGTCACTATAAATGTTGATAGGTAATTGAATAAATAACTGACTTGGCTTTACATGAAATCTCAACTTTTTCTAGTCCAAGAACTGCATTATGAGCCTTGTCCTTTTTATACATTTTATATTTTTGATGGGATCTCATTTCATTTTGTAGGTCATCCTACTTTATGTTCACGGATAATATTTCTTTCAAAATAATATCAGTAAATAAATAAGTTAGCCTTTCAATCAGCAATCAAAATTATAAAACAAAAGTCGTAAACGTATATTAAAGCCTGTTTACAGTACGTGCAATACGGTGCAATGGCAATTTAAGTTACCCGAAAGCATGCACATCTCGTACTTTTCGATCAGCTGATGCATTTTTATTGCATTGCATGCAACACGCGCTGATTTTATTATAACTAGCATGCAATTTTTGCCTCTACCAATCAAAAATACTATAAAATTAAACTTGATAATTAAAATAACATAGTTTCCGAGATAGTTTCTGTTTCACAATCCATGTTATAGGAACAAAAAACAATTAATTAAGATCCAAGCTCAAACTACAAAAACCAAAAACTTTTATTAAGGCATATACAACGAAACCTTGAAGATAAAATAAAACTATGAATCAAAACAATTTTTCTAGTCACTTTATTTAAATTGATACAATAGATTCTCAAAATGATTGCACGAATTTTATAGCACCCTATGTAAACAGTAAATTGCGCTTACTGCAAAATAGCATTGCACGTTGCATGCAATTGCAACGTGTATCGTAAACAACGTTTTCGATCAAAACCGATCGATACAACAGCTGACTGAAAATTTGACGTGAAACATTCACTAAATGAAAAAAACTAACGACTAAATTAAAAAAAAACAGACAATCATGGAATAATCAAAATGGAAACCAAATCAATCAAAATAAAAGAAACATATTTTCTCTTAACCGTTTTTGAGATACTTTCGAAATAACCGAGTCATTTTACTGTGAAAATTAAAAAAATATTAATTTTTGGTTAAATTTTGAGAACCACTGGATATTTTTTTGGTTTTTCTTTCTTGTATATTTAATCTACCACCTATGTTTCCATATAATATGTTTTTTAACTTAAAATTATATGATTTTCAAAAAAGTTATTCCAAATTTTCAAAATTTGGAATATCTTTTTTCGCAAAAAAAACTCATAGACGTGTTTCTGGGATCGAAATATACAACCCTTAAAAATATTTACACTTATTTAAAACTAAACCTGTATAGATTGTGGGACTGAACTTTTAATTTAATAATACCGTATGATCGAGAAAAAATGGCGTCAGCGATGGCTATGAAATGAAGATCGCTGTCATTTTATATGTAAATTTATGTCATCGACCGTCATTTCCCAGCCAACTAGACGCCGTTTTTTTTCGATCATACGTTATATAGTCTAAGAGCTAGCAACGTTTTCGAGAAAGTATTTTAAGACGTCTGGCTCTTTGATATATCTTTTACTATGCTCTCTGGAACAGCATGCGGCCCGTCTGGCTGCCGATACCCGTTGCGTTCACTACTGCGCATCGGAAGAAGATCCTATATTTTTTATTAATTTAGTCCTATAAATTCTAGTATTGAATATAAATCGAACAAGTCTCCATAGCGCAGTGCGCAGAGTTTCCGACCACGAACCGATGATTCAGAGTTTGATTCCGGGTCAGGGCAAAGACTTTTTTACTTAATTTTCGTTTATATTCTGATAGGAAAGTATTAAATAATTCTGGTGATTAAAAGAACAAATATTTTAATACTTTACTATCAGAATATAAACGAAAATAAGATAAAAAAGTCTTTGCCCTGACCCGGATTCGAACTCTGAATCATCGGTTCGTGGTCGAAAACTCTACGCACTGCGCTATGGAGACATGTTCGATTTATATTCAATACTAGAATTTAAAGGACTAATAAAAATATAGGATCTTCTTTCAATGCGCAGTAGGAAACGCAACGTTTCCGGCAGCCACACGGGCCACATGCTGTTCTAGAGAGCATAGTAAAAGATATATCAAAGAGTCAGAGGTATTAAAATACTTGTTTTTCCGACGTACTAATATTTACTGGTATTTTTAGGAATTGGATATTAGTCAATGCGGAATAATTCATTTAAATTCTAACATATTTTCCAATATACCCAGGTTGCAGTACCTCGATATTTCTGACAATTATCTGACCACTCTCAGGATAGCTATAATAAAACCCCTAAAAAACCTGACAAACTTCATAGTCTCAAATAACAACTTTATATGTTCAGAAGATGGTTTTAACCAAGTGAAAAAATATACCAAAGTACATAATATCACGTATATTGATCCATGTTCGCTTGCAAAAACGACATTTGAGATTAACAACGAACCTGTAAAATTTCAAAAGATGATGATGGAAGATGATTTTGAAACGACAACTTTGATAAGAGCTCCAAAAAATCTTTGGCTGTCTGAACCAAATGATGTAAATGAAACTTGCAATTGCGATACAGGCAATTCAACAAACTCAACGAGTAGTATGGTAAAGGAACCCAAAGCTCTTCTTCTGTATATTATAGAGGTCTCTCCATGGCTGGTAATATCAGTTACATTTTTCTACGGATTTTTTATAGGTAGGCACACAAAATTAATTCAGTAATAAGCGTATAATTGAAAAAAACAACGTCAAAGACGATTGGGAAATGACAAATCATTGGTAATTTTGGTGAGGTCAAGCTTCAGACATCATTTACTAAAAATTGACAAAAAACTTGTCAAAAATTACACAAATTATAGAATAATTAAAGAAGGATAGAACGTTTCCAGACACACTAGTCTTTTTCCAAGTTTTTTCTCGAATTTTAAATTACACTATTTAAAAATCGTGTTACTACGATTTATTTATTTATAAATACGAATATATAAAAATAAATTACAAGTCTCTTAAGGGCAACTAACAGTAAGAGCCATTAAAAACTAAAGAAATAATGTAAATACTGTCTAGGGCTTGACCTCTTTAAAATTATTCTCGATGGTCATTCCCCCAGCCGTCTTTGACGCCATTTTTTTCGATCGTATGAGATTTAACTCGTATTAGATAATTAAAAAAACTGTGATGAAATCTGAAGAAAAATTAAATCAAACCCTTTTTTAAATCGTGAAATGATAAACAGCATGTTTGCATATTTTGTAAAAATGCGTTTAGAAATAGTTGGCGGTAAACAGGCTAATTTTATCGTTAAAAAATAGTTTAAATAATTGCACTTAAATATTTACGTAAACCAGATAAAATCAAATCCCTTCAGATTTAAAAAGTTTATTTTAATATTTTTACAAAACCACTTTAATAGATTTAACAGATTGAAAGGATCATTTGAATAGGGAATAATTTTATGCAGTGAAAGGAATTATTTTGAGTATTTGATTTCATCTAGCTATTTCTTTACATAGTTATACGTTTATATCTAGTTTTAATTCTGTAATAATTAAAATATGTGCAAAAGATATACCTTTTGTTAATTAACAGCCACCCAGATTTTATCAATTAATAAAGATCTGCTGACGCAAAATCATAAAAATGAAAATATCTAGGAAAACATTCGTCTCAGGAGTAGGCAACAATAACAGTATTTTAAAGATATATAAATCCTCCATTGAATATCGGAATAATATACTGGGTGCTTTATTTTTTCTTTTTTTTATTCTTTTATTAAATTTAATTTTTTATTTAATTTATTTTATTTTTAAATGTCAATACATGTCATTATTGACAAAAAATAAACACGTTGAGAGTAGATAGTTATTGGACTAAAAAGATAAATTTGGAAAGTTTTTATTTTTTTAAATTAATCATAAAATTTTCTTCGAAAAAATGATGATTGGTGATGATTTGACACAAAAACATTTCAAATTTATGATTTCCGTCTACTAACTATTTAGTCAACATGTTTAATTTATGTCAATGATGACAGGTATTGATAATTTCGATTTCAAATATCTCGCGAACTATTACTCGTAGCGATTTTTATTAAGAGATCTTTTTTACGTTAAACACGTCGTAAATGTATATTTTTTACTTAGTAGTTTTATACAGGTACGGACGAAAAGTTTTTACTCTTCAAACCAATTAAAAATATGTAGGTGGCGCCCTCTACAAGTAGAAGCCATATTGACATCAAAATCGAATTTCTCATATCAAAAAACTCCCAGGCACCAAATTTCATCCAAATATTGATGTTACTTCAGAAATTATTTGGAAAAAATCGAAATAAAAATGAAATTTCTACACCCTGTATCTCCGAAATTAAGCATTTCAGGACATAAATTTATAAGAACTTTTTTACTTATTTTTATCTGGAGAATATGCTGCTGAAGTTTCCGGAAAACAGTTCGGACCACCCTGTATATTTTTGAGAAGCTCATAGCAAGCCAGATCATACAGGCTGTTCCATTTAAGAAAATATAACTTCAGTTCATATTTTCAAAAAAAAATCGTAGAAAATCAGACTACGCCACTGTATTATACGTAAAAAGTACTACATAAATCAGTTTTTACCTCCTCGATATTATCCACAATAACGGAGATACGGGGGCTGTCCCAAACTGCAAAATTTTCGAAAAGACCCTGTAGCTCACAAACGAAGAGGTCTATGAAAATTTTGTTTACTGCATTTTCGGTTTGATAAAAAAGTGGGACAAGTTTGTGCAAACCGCATGCTTCTATCTTTACTAATAACGGAGATACCATATGATTTCAACTAAAATGGGACACCCTGTACTTATATGTTTTTTATATTTAGAAAAATGTCAGATTTATTTTATTTTAGGTATTATAATTGCTTGCTGCAGCTATCGATGTCTAAACACCAAACGAATGCCAAAAAGGAATAACGTAACAATTGAAAATGCCTACGTCAATACCGACGACATCATTTACGATCAACCGAATATGAACGATAAACCTTCACAATCGAGTAGGAATGGCACTCTCTTCAAATTTGCGCTGAATAAATTGAGACAATCAACGGCCAGCACCTTCAACGATGCCAATGACAATGAAGAATTGATGTTGTACGAATTTGTATCAAATTCAACACCCATGCCACCCAGAAAAGATTATGTCATAGAATAACAAAAATTAATTTATTTCGTATAACTAATTTACAAAATTCCTGTAACATGTAATACCGTATAATCTAGAAAAAACGGCGTTGAATAACAATCGATGATAATTTTGGCCGGATCAATTTCTAGACGTCATTTACTAAAAATTAACATAAAATTTGTCATAAATTAAACTAATTACAGAAAGATTAAAAACGGAGGGAATGTTTCAAGACATATATCTCTTACATACAAGGTATGAGTTTTAAATCTTTTTATATTATTTGGTACGTTTGAAATTGTTTAAAACTATTCGGAGTAAAAGTGACTTTTTGTTACTCGGCTCACTCGGCTGTATTGTCTTAACGTACAGCCTCGCCAAAACATACCTAGATTACAACCTTCGTCAGGCCAACTGGCAATAAGCGCCATTACGAAATAAAAAAAACAGTACAGGCCGAATAAATGACATCTTTAAAGCCGTTTTATTTTCGATTGTGATTGTTAAAAGTAGTATAGTTATTTTTGGAAACTATACCAAATTCCAAAAAATGTTCAACGGTGTAAATAATGTGATATAAATTAGTTAATTTAATAGAATATTTTAACGTTAAGTAGTTTGGAAATAATTGCGACAGACACAAGTACCTGTATCGTTTTCAGGCAATTTTATTTATTTTTAGCAGTTAATGTGAACTTTATTATAATGATTAATATCGAATTAAACAAGATTATCGGCAAAAATAGCTTTTTATAAACTTAAATAAAAAACATAATTTTTGGTTTCGATATTGACCTTGTAAAGAAAAAAAAGACGGTAAGAAAAAGATAACAGCAGCATTCCTTTTTAATCTGTTAGGCGGCAGCCAAGCAGCAGAATAAAAAAAACAATGCTCAATACCATAACCAAACCAAACCAAACCAAACCAAATCAAATAAATCGTTAAAGACTTCTTCTTCTTCCTGTGCCTTGTGCTTAGCCGCACGTTGGCGATTGTCTGTACTCTTCATACAATGTGGAGACTGCCGTTTTCGGCTCTTCGAAATATCGTGGCTGCGTCGCTGACGTTACACCAATCAGACACGTTACACCAATCAAACACGTTAACCAATCAAACACGTTACACCAATCAAACACTTCATTGTTTTCTTCCTGGGCCTTCCTTGTAGAATCACTAGAATCAGCTTAGGAATGTAATATTTGTCTCCTTTAAGGATATGGCCGAGGTATGAAACTTTTCTTTCTTTAACTACAATAATAAGCATTTCTCGTTCATAGCCTGCAGTTCTTAAAACTTCTTCGTTGGTGGCATGTGCGGTCCATGGCACACGTAAGAGTCTCCGGAGAGTCCACATTTCAAAAGTCTCGATGCGGTTCAGGGTTCGAACCTTGAGAGACCACGTTTCTGCGACGTATAGTAAGATGGGCCATATGTACACTGATAAAAAAGATAGACTTGAAATAAAGTCGTCATCGTTCTTGAAAAAAAAAATTAGTGGCAAGAGAATTTATTTTAGCGTAAAAGAAAATATTTTGCCTGAAGAAAAACTCTCTTAACTTAAGAAAACTGGTTCTCTTGAAAAATTCGAAAATTTCTCTTGAATCTATTTTCATTCAACCAAGTGCAAGTTACTTTGTTTTAAGATAATAAGAAAAATACGGTAGGAAGTACTTCATTCAAGAAACATGGCAATTTTTTCGATAGCTAAATACTCTTTTGATCAAAAATAATAACGACACCAAAGACGATGACGAAGGACGGTATATACAATCAATCGGTAGTCCGATCAGTCGTACGTCGCATTTCATAGGTCGCATATCATAGTACGTACGGGTTTTGTTGCTTGGAATTTTCCACTTGGAATTTTGCATAATTTGCTGTATCGTATAACAAATTAGTGATCGTTATTAACATGCATTTGTCATTTTTTATGGACAAATTTTAGGATATATGGATTCTTTAAAGGAGTTTCTGAAAAATGGAAATTAGAAATTAGAGCATTTATTTGCTATATTTGAAGGTAAGAGTCATTTACCTAATGCATCTGTTTAGATAATGCATGCGTGACTATAGATAGAATAAGAATATAGATATCGATTTTTTTATGCAAATAATTACAAAAAATTTAGAATTTCAAGTCGTATTAAAAAATTCAAAATGTGACCAAAGCTTATAATTTTAATAATTTATTTGCTTTATTTTGATTAATCGTGATGTAACATTTTTTTTGTAATTTGTAGAGTGATGAACCACCCCAAAAAATACCAAGGAGTGAAGAAGCAGAAATAACTACTGTGGAGGAAAATAATATCACTTTACTTACTACAGACCAGGAAAACTTAAATTTATCAGAAAATAATATACCTCGTAATATGCCTGTATATGATGTATAGACTTCTCTTAGATCAAAATAAATTTTAGTTGAGTCAATAGTATTCGCTATTGGTTTAAGAAAAGTGTCTCTTTAATCAAGAAATGTCCCTTTTCAATGAAGAATTTTTGCATGAATCAAAGAGAATATTGTTCTTGTAGCAAGAACTTTATTGCATATTAATTTTGGGTCAAGAGTGAAATACATCGGACAGATAGATTCTTCTATTCTCTAAAGTAGTTTTTTAAAGCTTATGAAAAGATAGTTAATGCTTTGGGTAATGAAACGTTGTTCTTGGCCCTATTGAAAAGCGCCAATCTTTTGGTCAAAGTCATATTCATTTCGACTGAGAGATCCTTTTTTTCAGTATAGCATTTTACTACCCGTAGTCTGAGTGCTAGCGGAAGACAGCGTGCTAATAGGAAGTTTTTAAGTTTAAAAAATATTGTTTTTGCATAATTCGTTCTAAGTTTAACTTCTTCAACGCAGTCCCACCGTTCATTGATCATGGCACCTAGATATTTAAATCGTGGTACTCGCTCTATAATATTTCCATCCGCTGTCAATGCGGTGTTAATTATACGCTGGCGTCCTATTACCATAAGTTTGGTCTTGGTAGAGCGTTGATTTTAAGACCGAAACGCTTTCCCATGTCCCCTATCTTATTTATTATTTGATAGAAATCCTCTAAAGTTGGTACTAGGATTGCCGTATCATCTGCATATCTTATATTGTTAATTAGAATTCCGTTAATCTTAATTCCTCCACTTTCTCCTTCCAGGGCCATATGAAATATCTTTTTGACGTATATATTAAAAAATATTGGTGACAGTATACAGCCCTGGCGAACTCCTTTACTTGAAGGTGTTGTTTTATGTGTAAATTAAGCCTTAATGTGTAAATTTTAAGTTTATGCCAATTCGATTTTAAACTAAATAGAAAGAAGATGCATTAAATTTAGGGACGCACGTGCAAATTTACATTTATCGAGGGACCGTCACTGAGATTTAATCTAAACTAAACGCGAAAAGTACTTATCCAGCATTAATCCGAAACTAGGCTTGGACCGCTACAACAAGCAAGTTTTTGCGGAGGGCGTGGCTAGCGGTTTCCGTTCGACTGTGGTCAGCTCCGGAGCGCTAATAGCAAGATGCAAGTTTCCTGAACAGTTCGGAACTCGGGCAACACTCCGCTTCATTATGAAAGCGTTTCGGCAACTACTTCGATTCGTTTAATAGCAGTTCGACGAGGAATAATTCCAGGACGAGAAAGACAAAGTTAAGTAGAAGTTGAGAAGTATATTTGATGATGAATCATTGATGATGTCGAAATCAGTTCGTGAAACAGGAATATACCTACGCTAAGGACCAGTTTTATTAGTGGAATTAATCTTTGTGGCAGTAAAGAACGGAGACGTGCCTCAGACGTGAATATATTTAAGAATACCGAGGAATTTTACTACTGGCTATCGGAGTAAAAATTCTTGCAAAAATTATGTCAAACCGCCTGCATCCACATATAGAGAAAATCCTCCCAGAATCGCAAATGGGTTTTCGTACCAACCGCGGCACCGCCGATTCCATATTCTCCGTCCGCTAACTACAGGAAAAAGTAAAAGAACAGCAGTGTAAACTTCTTGTTGCATTCATCGACCTAACAAAAGCCTTCGACTCTGTAAACAGAGATATACTTTGGGCAAAAATTAAAATAAAAAAATTATTAAAATACCAATTTCTTACAGTGTGTAAGAGCCTCCATAACAACAGCAAGTCAAGAGTATCACATCATGGAGGGATGTGTCTTAGCGCCTCTCCTATTCAACATATTCATGGCAGCGCTCGCCATAGTGCACAGCACAAAACACATACACAAGGAGAAGTGCGAGCGCCTTGCTAAATATTGGAAAGTGAAATTGACGTTTAAATTTGACACTGTTGACAAGTCTACTGCTACTAGCGCCCCCAATTTCGCTTGTAGGAACTACGGACTAAATTGTCACGCATGGCGGGAAGTTTAAAAAAATAAAAAATTTTATTTCTTCATTTATTTTTAATTATGACATACACAAAAACACAAAAAATAACCATTTTTTAAAAATATGTTTAATATCAATATCAAATATACAGCAGAAATTAATTTCACCACAATAAATTAATAAAATTGAAAGAATAATGTTACAAGTAGATCAAGAGACAAAATTAATTATAACAAAACTGAAAAAAATGGCGTCATAGATGGCTTAAAAATAAAAGATATATCATAATTTTGAAAGTAAAATTATTTGGGAAATGTCTTCGATCATCATTTTTAAGCCAACTGGACGATTATTTCAAACATACAAGCTGAGTTCGTTCATAGTGCTCTGAGAAATCTAGATAAACAAAGAATAATAAATTAAAAGTATTCCAGGGGAAAAGAGAGGAAAAACCTTTATCGTCTCTGATATCTGTCAGGGTATTGTTGAAAGTGTCATCTTTTGCTCGAAGTTTTCAGGTCGATCAAAAGATGACATTTACAACAATACTTTGCTGTAACTTTCACAAATATCAGAGAGAGTACATACAGGTATTGCCTCTCTTTTCCTCTGGGATGCTTTATATCTGTTGTTCTTTGTTTATCTATATTTCTCAGAGCATAATGCCGAACACGACTACAGTATATAATAATTTCAATATCCGAAGTGGAAAGAAAAAAGGTCACCTTTCTGTTTTGTACTATGGTCCCTTTCTTCCGATGGCTCATCTCGTTGATATTTAGGAAGGATAAATAGGAAGGAAAATATAAAATTCAATTTGATTTGATGATCCTTTTCTGTCACCTAAAATCAGGAGAACGACAATGAGCATTTTAAGATGAAAAAAAAAATTATCAACACTTACCTACACGTTAGTCCGAGGAGTTTTATTAAAAACCTATATTTGCCTAAATAATTTATGTATTAAATTTACAAAGCAAAATGCAGCGTGTAAACAAAAGAAATAAAATGGCGACAAGTCAACGTCAACGACCCGACAAGGAGAAAAGTGGTGTTCGAATAACAAATTATGGGTCACCAAAAAATTGTTTTTGTCCCTTTCAACGCACACTTTAGAAAGAAAAAGAGATGAACTGGAATACTGAAAGAACGTCAAGGCTTTATCTGTCACTCTTGTCAATAATTTATCGGTAAGGAAGATTCCTAGAAAATCGCTTGTAGTCAAGTTTTCAACCATTGCCAGTTCTCCCATAAGAAGTGTCATCCACCTGGTGCACAGCAAACTGCAAGAAGGAGGATTGGACATTAGATACAGATACGACGGCGGCGCGGCGGTCTGTTCAACTAAGAAAGACTCATGGCAAAAACACATACAAAATTCATCACAGAAAT